GCGCGAGTGTGTGTGTGTGTGTGTGTGTGTGTGTGTGTGTGTGTGTGTGCGCCCGTGGTCGCGGGGGTGGGGCGACCCCTCCCCCACCAGTCAATCAATCAATCAATCAATCAATCAATCAATCAACAAAAAAAAAAAAATTGAGATATATGGTCCCTAAGTTTACGTGTATTTTTTTTGGAAATGAATATCTGTTGTTTGCAGGGAAATGGGATGTTAAAAAAAAAAAAAGAAGTTACCCCCCTTTTTTTCTATTTATTTAATTTTTTTTTTAGTCATCGAAACCCACCCCCCCGTTTTTGAAGTTCTTATGTTTTTTTTTTTGCGAGGAGGTAGAGGACCCCCGCCCCACTTGAAACCCGTTTTTTTTTTTGTTTTTTTTTTTTTTCCAATTATTGGCCGCGTTCGGCCGCGGCCGGGGGGGGCCCAGCCTCGGCCGTGGCCGAACCAGGCCGCGGCCTACGTGCAACATAGCTGCCTTGTACTCGCAACTGGCCATTACATGGCCATTGTACATGCCTGTGACCACTGGGAGCTGTGGGACAATGGCACCATGGTCCATGCCATGACTGATTCTACGGATTTCTTACACAACGATGCTGTTTTCTTGCCACACCAAACCTGTCGGCACACTCCTTCATGTCCAAACAAGATCATTCCTTTGCCCGTGTGCTGCAGCAGGACAATGCGTCAACACTCTGCGACCTTCTCCTTTGCACAGTTACAAACACTGTCACAGTCGGCTGTAGCCGCCATCCTCTCTGTTACAATCACTACAATGACCTGCTTTCTACATCCATGTGTCCAGAGGACTGCCCCTCCTTTCCTGACTGCAGGGGCCCTCCGGATGCTATATGTCCGTTTTGTGGCCATGGGCGTTATAGTGAATGCATGGTCTTTTTTTGTGCTGCCTGTTCTTCCTTCATGTTGGCCTGCGATCAATGTGCCATTTTGTCAGGAGTGTTTGGTTGCAATGCTCAATGCCAGGCGTTGTGGCAATTGTTGTACCGAGAATGTTCAGCCAGGTCTCCCATGCCCTCATCCATCTCATCCTTACAATGCAAGTCTTCTCTGTTGTCAAGGACAGACTGATCTTTTCCTTCCTTCTCTTATCCTTTCCTATGCTTTCATCGTCATTCAGCACTTCTTACTTTCCCTTTGATTTCCTTTGCTTTGCCTTCTTTCCATCGTTTTCTGTGTTTATCCTCTACCCCTTTAGTCTGCCAGTTTTTCACAGCGGACAAGTGGGCTGGTATGGCACACGAGGATGCAGGCAGCTTGCGCTCAACTTCATCAACATGGGGAGCCTTGTACGTGAGAGGCACAGCAAAGGGGAGCTAAAAGAAGAAATGATTAAAAGATTGAAAATAATGGTTTCAGTGTCCTCTTCATGTTTGTCTTCTGTATTTTTGCAAAGTGTGCTGTTTTAGTTGGTAGATATGTGCCAATATATTTTACACAAGTGTGCTCGATGGTCACTTCAAAAGTGATGGGAATAATGTGTGTGTGTGTTCAAGCAATAAGTGTGCTCGATGGTCACTTCAAAAGTGATGGGAATAATATGTGTGTGCGTCCAAACAATCTTCATAACTGGTTGACTTACGTTGCATGTGACTTGTCACTGATTGATGCAGCATTCACTGGGACTGCTTCTAAAGGTCTTGGGGCTTTTCTTCTCATGATGCTGTTTGGTGCTTCATCCATCCCACTATCATATTGTTATTCTTTCTTGTTCAAGAACTCTGCATCCGCACAGGTAACTGCAGACTTTGTGCCTGTTAGACTGTATGAGAGAGGGAATGGGAATGGGTGTTGGAGTTTGTTGTGTTTATGACTTAACCTCAGCGAGCTCTGTTCTCCTACTTGGATTAACCCTTGATGAACTCCTGGTTAACCCTCAACGAACTCCTTTCCTCTACTCTGGAGAGGCTGTTGTATGATTGTCAGTTGTTCTGTTGAAACTCATGCTCTAACCAGTTCTGCGCTCCTGTCGTTTTGGCCCAACAAGTCAGTGTCCTCTCCAGCTCATGTTAGTGGGAAGGCAGTTACACCCATGAATGCTTTGTCGGTGGCTTAAATGGTTACGATTTGAAGCATAAATCATTCCAGGTTGTGCCCCAAGCCACCCATGAGTGGTTCAGTGGACATGAGTGGTTCAGTGGATGGCAAGTGTGCCAAGGTTGTGGTGGCTTGCGCAAGGAAAATGAGCGATAGCGAACTTCAGAAATCAAACAGCGTCATACACATGAGACCAGATAGTCGTGACCTCGAACCAATAGCAGAATTTCATCACGAGTTCCACCAAATAAGAGCACAGCAAAAGCTCATAATTGACAATGCTAGAATAGTCTCATCATCATCAACGAAGAACCAATGTCGATATCCTATCTGGCGCTCGGCGCCCAGACTACAAATGGCAGATCCTATCTAGCCTATCTACAATGCCTCTGATGACGTCAACAGCTCCCCGAAGTACGAGCAGATCTCGGCCAATGCCGTTCGCCTCAAGCACCAGGTATGTCTCTCGTATCACTCGCAACCTCGATCCCCAACTCACAGATGCCACATGCACCCAAGAACCACCATGCGCCCCATCCAGCATACAACAGCGCAGCTCGGCTATGGCTGCCTGCTCCTTCCTGCTCGCCTGTGAGCACATGAGCGCTGGCCAGCGTTAGCGCAGCAGCGCTTGCGCAGCATGCAGGTAGTGCCCGAATGTCGAATGCGTGGGCAGGCCCTTCCCTATATCGAAGTGGCCTGCTGCTGCGTGCGGTAATGCGGTACTGGGCCCCAGCCCAGAAGCTTCTGGTAGGCCCCATGAGGCTGAGCCTCAGTCCAAAGGAAACAGGCCCAGGGCCTGTGGTGGTTACCAGCGCCCAACTGCCTTCAGCCTTTGTTTGGTCCATGTTGTGTATCCGGCTCAGGGCCTGCCGCAGTTACATACGATGAAAGGCAGCCTGGGCCTGGGCGCTTCCAACCAAATGGCGCTGCGCAACTGCCTGAATTTTCCCCAGTTGAGTAGTAGTCCAAAATAGGCCTCGGTCGGGCCTGCCGTCACGTAGGGCAGCCGACCTTGCTGATAACAGGGCCCAGTGGGGCTTATATAGGCCTTGTGCCTCGCACTTGGAGCTTAACCTGAAATAATTTATGCCTCTTAAGGCTCTGAGGAACCATGTGAGAGCTGGAAGTTGCTTGTGATCTACTCGTGGTGCAAGTGATGAAGCTGTAGTAATCGAGGCAAGAGAGTGTGGCTCGTCATTCTCGTGAAAGTGAGAGAGTATTCCCCCAAGATGCGCTGGTAAGGGTTTTTGCAAGGTGTACTGGTAAGGGAGCTAGGTTCTGCAGATGTGGTCAGAGAGGAGAGAGGTTTGCAAGGTCCAGTGGTAAGGGAGTTCGTGGGTTCAAGAGAGGAGAGAGGTTTGCCAGGTCCAGTGGTAAGGGAGTTCATGGGTTCAAGAGAGGAGAGAGGTTTGCAAGGTCCAGTGGTAAGGGAGTTCAGAGAGAGAGAGAGCACCGAACATACCTTGATCGGCCATATCGACGATGATTGCCATTGCGCGGCAATTGCACCCTCCAAGCAGCATCCTTACCATGATGATGATCATCGTTTGAACAGCCTGGCTATCCATCTTCCCCTCCCTTCCTCCTCCTCTTATCTCGCCGCCCTGTCCCAGCCGCTCATAGTCGGAAGTGATGTCCCACCTCATCCTGCTTCTCTTCCTCCTCCTCCTGCCCGTGCTTGTCTTGCGCAGCAAACACGAATACAGTGATCTGATTATCCAAGAAGAAGCCCCCTTGAAAACTGGCAACGTTCCCACCAACGTCCACCCTCACAAATGTCCTCACCCCGCCTTGCCACACTCAGTCATCACTCACGCTTTGGCACCGTGCTCACTAATCCACCACACCTGCCCTCCTCCCATGCATGCACCATGTTGGAGAAGTGTTCTTCCTCATGGTGACGGTGGTCTTATCTACCTCCTGCGACTCATCCCACTGACCGAATCCCTCAGTCACATTCGGACAGACGCTGCCCCTAAACAGAGCTCACGAAAAAAAGAAAAGAAAAAAACGCCACGATGCAAGCGCTGCCGCCGACAAAGAAGTTGAAAAACAAACCTGTCGGGAATCTCCCCGCATTCCGTGCACAAAACAGAGGCCCGGCCGCTCCTCTATGCGGTACCGCCCCTTGGTGTGGTCAAAACAGAAGCGGTACTGGTTCCCGGCGCAGTCTCGTGGTCTGCCAGCCGTTTCCCATCAATTGTAGCCACTCAACGCCTTTCTGCGTTATGGCCTGACGGTCCTGAGACAACGGCATTGATTGCGTGCATTAGGAAACATGTACCACTGCCCGGCCCTGCTTTGTACTTGTGCAGGAGAAACAGTTTCACAGACTTCTCTCTCTCTCTCTCTCTCTCTCCAAGAAGAAGAAGAAGAAGATGAAGAAGAAGAAGAAGATGCGTGGGGTTAGAATCCTTGTTGCGGAATGTACACCGTTCCTCGTGATGGCGGGTTCCTGGCAAGGTGACATGTTGGCTGCTTTGTTGTGGCGGCAGGAGATGGCGCGGATTGAGGGATGGTGCAGGCCGACGTGATGGCACAGCTCGCTGGCGCAGATGGGATGCGCAATGGGGCGGGCTGGGACTGCTGGGGGTTCTGGGGGTTGGATGCGCGAGTCGAGGGGAGAATGCACTTTGAAGTTCGGAATGCGGGTGTTCGCATTGCACTTACACATGCAGTAGATCTTGGCCACCGATCTACAAAGATCAGTGACCAAGATCGTCCATCTTTTTTTCCCATAGCCATGCCAGATCGGACACCAGACCAGATCCGGACACTGGATCCGGACAACGATCGGACACTGGACCAGATCCGGACACCGGGTGGGGGGACGTCGGGAGGACGAAGTCCAGTTTGTGGTAGGGGAGGACTACGACGAGGACGATGAGCAGGATCAAGAAGATGAGGAGTAAGAAGATGAGGAGTAAGAAGATGAGGAGGATGAGGAGACGAGGAAGAAGACGCGGAGGACGAGGAAGAGGAGGAAGAGGAGGAAGAACACGCAGAGGAGGAGGAGAAGCACAAAGAAAACACAACGGAGGGGGAGGACAAAGACGTGGAGGCTCCCATTGCTCCTACCGATTCTGGCGGTTGGCCGCTGGGGGTGCTATGAGAAGTTCATTGAACCATATTATTTTGAGGATGAAGAAGTCGTAACAAGGTTTCCAAAGGTGAACCTGCAGATAGATCGTTGGGAAAAAGGGGGGGAGGGAAGAGGAACGGGAAAAGAGCACCACATGGAGCGCGCGAGCGGAAAGGGAAAACGAGTCGACGAGGAGTAGTAAGACGAAGAGGAAGAGCAGGAAGAGGAGGATCAAGATGAGGAGGAGTTGGAGGACATGGAGGAGGAGGTGGAAGAAGATGGCGGCGACGACAGCGGAGGTGACTGGAGACGAGGAGCAGGAGGAGCAAGACGAAGTCAAGTAGGTGCACCTGCGGAAGTGCATTGAACCTTCATCATTTGGAGGGTGAAGAAGTCGTGAACCTGCGGAAAGATCATTGGAGAAATAAAAATAAAAATAAAGAACGTGAGAAGAGCGCCACGTGGAGTGCGCAGGCGGGGAGGGAGAACGAGTCGACAAGAAGTAAGATGAAGAGGAAAAGCAGGAGGAGGATCAAGACGAGGAGGAGGAATTAGACAACATGGAGGAAAAGGAGGAAGAATACGTGCTGTAGGTGGAGCTGGGAGGGGGAGCCCAAGGAGGAAGGAGACGAGGAGCAGGAGCAGCAAGACCATGTGGACGAAGAGGAGGAGGAGGAGGAAGAAGACGTGCAGGGGACGATGGTGGTACTGCAAGCAGGGTCAATAGAATCGAAACTCGAAGTGGCGGGCAGCGGCTGTGGCAGTTCTTTGACTTCAGAGCCGGCTTTGCAAAATGGTGGCCATGAAGACCTTCAGACGCCCCGCCCTCCCTAAGACAAACAAAATGCGGAAACAGAAGAAAAATTCTGGCCCTGCGAGATGCCAGGTAGGGGTGACAAAAATGAGGGTTACATTTTTCTTTCGTGGCCCTGGGCATGAAAAAATGCCTAGCCTGTCCAAAAACGTTTTGGCCGTTGGGTACGGGGCCTCCTATCCAGACCACGATCCAAACATTTTGTCATGGACACCGGACCCTGGACAGTCTGGATCCCTGTCCAGTGGTCCGGATCACGAGTATGTTTTTTTAATAAAACAAGGGGACTACTGGCCCTGTTTTTTTTTGTTTTTTTTTCCTAGGCGGCTGCACCCTCTGCGAGGCCGTGGGAGGCCACTCCAGAAAAACAAATTGGCCCCAGCGAAAATGCGCTGGGGACGACCAGGACCAACCAGGCCGGCCCACCAGCCGGTCCAACCCCCTCGGGCCATCCGGGGACCAACACTGTTTTAAATGTGTTTTGCTGTACTTTGTTTTTCTTATTAAAGCTAAGAAACTGGGTCCAGCAACCCGTACATCAATTGTAGCCACTCAGCGCCTCTCCTCGTTATGGCCAGAAGATCCTGAAACAACGGCGTTGATTACTTCCATTCAGAAGGATGTACCACTGCTCCGCGCCTGTGTTGTACTTCTGCCTTCTACTGTACATCTGTACTTCGGTATTCTCACACACATGCAGCATTGTCAGCATCTGCCACATAATAAGATTGAAGTTGTCAGCAATAGGAAGATGTAGGGAGGGAAAGATGACTGCTCAACAGCTCCTATGTAGATCTGTTGACTTGTTAAAGTGAGAAAGTACATATGATCTTGGGCACAGTCCTGGACTGCCATGGCTGTAGGCACTATTCTGTGTTGTTCTTTTCTGAGGACTTCTGTAAATGCTGTGTTGCACCACCTGGAAAAATTGGGAAGAAGTCAACCACAACACTTGAATGATGCATGCAAGAAAAGGAAGCAATTGGAATCCACTCGGTGTGTTTACTATTTATTGCTTTGCAGGTTGCCATTGCAGGCTTCCACTTCATTGCTGGTGTTGTCATGCTTGTTACATCTTTCATCATGGGGGAAATTGAGAAAACACAGGTGCCATATGCTAATCCCTTTATTTTCCCTTGTTTTGTTTTGTAGTAAATCTGTACCTTTTTTCCTTCCTTTTCTTCTTCTAGAGCTTCTCTGTTTTGGCGCGAATGCCTGAAAATTCAGTTAAGGCTCAATAGGAGGCAGCAATCCTCCTTCGGCACATCATACTTGCTCAAAACAAGCACACGAACACTAAGAGAAGTTGTGGCAATCACAAGACTTAAAGAAGATATTCCAAAGTGTCATTCAAATTTCAAACAGTTTCGTTAAAAGACAGGCAACCCACAGAATTACATCATTAAGCACACCACCTTTCTTCCCTCCACCTTGCACATGTAGCCATGATCATCATTCCCCATGATGCTCCCTTATCCTCAGGTCCATCTCTCCACCGGCTTCAATGCTCTAATAAAATTGAACATGTCAAAGCCGGTAGATTCCATAATTGGGAAGAACTGCTTTCCGTCAATATTGCAGACCAGGAAACTGTCAGCCCTGTAGAATCCAGAGCATGTCTTTGCTCATTGCATTCCTTTATTTTTTAATTCTTAAAAATGTGGACCATATCTCGATGTATGTGTGTCATGCTTGCACAAGGGCCATGCTAATCTCTTCTGCATTGCTCCAATTTACAAGGCATGTCATTGCTCATTGCATTCCTTTTTTTAAACTCTGAAAAATGTGGACCATATCTCGATTTATGTGTGTCATCCTTGCACAAGGGTCATGCTAATCTCTTCTGTATCATTCCAATTTTTACTGATCTTTGGACATACAAGTTGATTATAGAACTGCTGATTGCATTTCTGATGCACAGTACCTCATTTTTCACCTCATCCGGGCGACAGGGACTCGTTTGAACTTGAAAGCACTGTTCCTGATTGAGTCTGACAATGCCTTGTAGCTTACGTCTGAGCAGTTACTCTAGCTTCCCCTATTTTTTTAATGCGTATGAATTGTGCCTGGTGGTTTTCAGTGTTGGTTTTCTTCCAGATTATTCTGCTAATCGTTCTGTCATTTATGCCCACTTAGCACTGTTTTGCTAGCTATTATGTGGGAATCAGGGAAAGTGCTTTGCCGTGAGCTTTGTCCCATGAAATTGTGTCTGTTCATTGTGGTTGCCTGTGGGGTTCCTCAGGTCCTTGTACTTCACTGCTGCCCCCTCCTTACTTTTGCCGACTTTACACTATTTTGTCAACTAATGTGCAGGAAGGCGCTTAGCGAATATTATGTAGTGAGTCAGACAATGGTGAGAAGCTTCTGCAACACAAAGTTGGAATTAGTCTCAGTGCACTCAGAATGGAACCTATGGCAATGCAGAATAAGTCATGAAGCACTCGATGATGTCCCAGAATAAGCAGCGAGTCACCAGAAGTGAGACAAAGCGGTGGAGAAGCAGTAGAGAGGAGGATAGTTAATACAATTGGACCCTCTTCCCTTCCAGGACCTTCTTCTCCGCTTGCCACCTCAGCATGCTCCCTCCCCAATGACACTAGTGAAGTCTCTCTGCAGGTACCAGATAGGTGCGCCCAACCTGCAGCATCAAAGTTTGGCTATGGAGGTTGGCGCCTGCCTTTCTTTAGCCTCCTGGTGTGAACCGCAGCTTCAGTATCACCCAGCCCCAACAGGTAAGTCAAGGTAAGCTTCCCTCACTCTCTAACTCCCTCCTCACAATTGCTGATCGCCCTCTTCCTCACCCTACCTCTACGGTACAGCTATGACGTATAGGTGTCCTTCCTAGCTATGGCTAGTATTTTCTTCCCCTCCCTTGGCTGACGTTGTATTCCACCAGCCTCTTCCATCCATCCTCTGGCACTCCGTAGCCCTCTGCCCATCAACGAGTGCAAGGCAGAATGAACGGTCCACTGTCGCAGGCAATTCTTTTTTAGAGTTGACTGGTCCTTGCCTGCGTTTGTTTGCCTCCTTCGATGGTTGAGATTTCTTTGATCTGGGTGGGCCAGATTTCCTGTCAGCCAATGTGCACCTGGACCTAGTACCCTGGAAACTTCAGGAGCAGTACAGACAGCCTTTGACTGTGCATCACATATGTGGCTGCAGTTGACTCCTGAGAATCGACCTATTTTTACCTAGTTGGGCCTGACTCCTGATTTTTCTAAGTCAACTACCTCACATGGGGGCACAGGCCACCTCATAAGACCCTGGACCCTGTACCTGTTGACCCAAGGACTTTTCTCAGATCCTTCTAGGAAAGGACCATGACTTTTGAACCCTGGGGAGGTGGAGCGGTACCGGTTGACACGGCTCACCGGTCATCGGCTCCAATCCCTCAGCAGTTCCGAGGTAATCCGGCGAGTTGACACTGCCATAGCCATCCTTGACTTCGTCGACGGCGTGCGGAAGGGGATCGTGATATCCTGGCGTGACGAGCGGAGCCCGCTAAAGCAGAAGGTGCGTGCGACAACACTCGTGACGGTGTAAGAGGCAATGGCTACTGTGTAGGAGCTCCAACAACGGGCAGACACGTGGCTCTCTGAGCTGGGGGCACATGGAGAGCTTGATTGAGATCTTGTCCTCTGCAGCCGAGGCCTGGCCAGTGGTGGCTTGGGGGGAGTCAGCTCCGGCTGCCTGGCTGGAGGATAAGGCTCATCAGCTGGAATCGCTCCTCTGGCAGATCGAGGAGGATCCAGAGCTGGAGGCCTTCGTCGAATGGCAGCGGAAAGATGCTTTGATGACAAGTTGTAGCCTCCTATTGGACAAGGGTGCCGAGCACTGCGAAGTATTGAGAGCGCAGTTGGCTGTTATGATTCTGGTTGTCTGTTGTCTGAAGACCAACACTTGCTCGCATAGACTCCCAGTTATGCCCATACATACAGAGAAGGAAGGGGAGAGGATAGGAGTATCACACCGCACAGGGAGAGAGAAACACGGCGGAAGACTTGAGCATGCGATATGACAGGGTACACTGAAAGTGCAATTCACTCCACTCAATCCTCCCAACCAGTCATAAAGGAAAGTCGAGTAGATCACATCCAAGAAACAATGAAACGATGATAGTCTGGACACAGTGTGAACACTGTTTATTAAACTCGGAGTCTCGAATTGTTAGAATAACCCCAGTATTGTGGTGCACTGCTCAAAAATGAGCAGCGCTTCACTCCCCAACCCTGATGAACCGCTATCACCACCCCTGAGTCCCTGAAACATCAAGCGCCACCCTTGTACAGCCTCGAGAGGGAAGCGCCACCTTGAAACAGGTCTCTGAGGCCAAACGCCACTCAGAGGATGAAGAAGAAGACCAGTGCCACAGTATCTGATGATGATGAAGTGTCGGAAGACTTCCCGGGTGGAAGTCTGCAGCAGCGCCACCACTCCTGACAAGATGACCTCTGAGGAAGAAGCTGCAGCTGTGGCTACAGCGCCACAACCCTATAACCCTACTCCGGAGGAGGGTCCAGCAGGGCACCACCTTCTCTAGCCTTTAGCAGACCTCAAGTAGCCCAAACCTCTGCACAGCCCCGCGTGCTGACAGAGTGCAGCGCAGGTCCCAGTTGTGGCTGGCGCTCCGAAGGTCTGGTTATGTCTGTCTCCCTCCACGCTGAGCTGTCACCACTTCTGGTTCACGCGTAGCAGAGCAGCGATGTACTCGGTACCAACTGCCAAAAGCCCTGAACCGATGTGCCCATCCTATCTATAACCTACACTACCCTAGACACGACCTAGACCGGACTGACTGGACCGACCGCTACAATTTCAGGTTCGGCCTCTCGGCCTCTACCTTACCCGGCTATGGGCTATAGGACCGTCTATCAGTATAGGACTGTAGGGCCTGCCTATCCTAGGGGTAGTCCGGGCCTGCTAATCGCAGTTAGGGTAAATTCCAATTAGTATGGGCCTATCTTTTCCCAAATTTGCAGAATATGTCCCTCACGAATTTCCTCACAGTCAGCTGTCGTGGTTAGCCCTCAGTCAAACAAAATTACGAATCTAACCTAAGACACAACCCGACCGTGGCAAGCCCCGAGCTTCGCCCTCGGCCCAATGTACAGTCCACTGAGAATCTACAGGCTTCATTACATACTTGCCCCCCCGGGGAGAGCGGACCTCCGCGCCCATACTTCATTTCTTGGTAATGAACCAACAGACGAAGTGGGTGTAGAGATAGAGCTTTTGCCTGAAGAGGAGAACCGGAGAGACTCGCGGGGTAACCTATGCCCCTGATCACCGCTGCAAACAGCAAGGTCAGGAGGAGGTAACCTCAAAAGTGTCAGCTGGTCTCGACTGCATCAAGAAACCACGGACTGTCGCACAATCGACCACTTCTGAAAAGTTGAGGTTCCGTAGGCGACGCCCTATTGTTGCAATCCGGTCTCCTATACTCATGACCAACATTGTAAACAGTGATGTCAGGAGAAGGAGAACTCAGAGTGTCAACCGATCTCGATTGCGTCACATGACCAACAGTAAGACTTGGCACCCGACTATAGTGCAATCGACCATGCTGAAAAGCTGAGCGACCTAGACGTTGAGCTATAGTCGTCGATCCGGGTATTCAACCCTAGTGGACATGGAACCAAGTGCAGTTGATCAAGAGTGATATAGTGGAGCCCATAGCTCTCAACTACAATTATCATTCTAGACTGAAGGACTGCAATAAGAGATTGCGGGCAAAACAAGCAACCTCAACACGGTGGAGCATGAAGACATAAACACTCAGGCTGTCAGTGACAGTCATGCTAGGACTCAACTTGTCTAAACGACATGCTAGGACTCAACTTGTCTAAACGACAAGGAGTCATGGGCAGGATGCTAAAAGCTTGGAGCAATGGCTCACACCACTCAGTGTCAAGACGAGGGAAACTTGCCAAATCAGCAGCTAACACTAGTCAGGCCGTTGAGTATGGCCAAAATTTGAATCAGCAAATTCTGACAGCGCAACACAATTACGTTTGTCCAGGGAAGTAGGAAACATCTCCTCAGAGACGTCCGCTCACAAGTAAAAGGGGCTGCGACCCTTACTTTTGCCATCTCTAGACCTGCTACGA